CCTAGCTCAACGAGTAGAAACAGAATCTAGGTTAGTCGTTTGGATATGGACTCGACGAGTTGGAGAGCCAACTTGGCGATTCGGGTCAACTGGAAGTTAACTCTGATGGTGACTTAGGGCATGATCAGGGGTAGAATGGTCATTTTACCCAAAGGACAGTTAGCGGTATTTGACTAAGTGTTTGGTGGGAATTTCAGCCGGAGGATTTCCGGAGCAGCAGCAGCAGATAGACTATTCCCACACAGATCAGCAGCTAGTACGAGGTGAGTTACCTTCCAGTAGCGGTGGGTCTAAGGCCACAATGCCGGCCCACCAGTAGGAGATGTATGATTAGATGATTGTCTCTGTGATATTCATCTAGGGTTGCTACTACCTTTGTTATGTTTATGTGTTTGTATGATATGATGCTATGTGCTAGTGATAGTAGGGGAGATAGTCCCCAGGTTACCGGTCGATAGGGTCGAAGGGGCAGTTATGCCCAGCCATGTTAAATAGACTATGTGATATATGTGTTATGTGGTAGTAGTAGGGGTGAAATAGTCCCCGGTACCCGGTCGAGAGGACCGAAGGGAAGGCCAGCACCCAGATATGTTAGGCAGTATCCGGTCGAGAGGACCGAAGGGGAGGCCAGCACCCAGATATGCTAGGCAGTATCCGGTCGAGAGGACCGAAAGGGTAGGTCGGGCACCCAGATATGCCTGACAATTTATGTATGTTATGTGATTTTATGGTATGTGGTACAATGGGGGAACTCACTAAGCTTTGTGCTTACAGTTTACAGTTTTGGTTTCAGGTACCTCTTCATCGAAGGGGAAGGAGCTGGCACGGTAGCGGCACATCATGCATTCATGATTGGTTTCCGCATGATTTAGATTTCCCTGGGATTTATACTCTGATATTTTGATTGGTTGTATGATTTGGCTTTTAGACATGGTTTACGATGTGGTGTGGTTGATCAAACAATGTTTTTAATTATTAACGTTTCCTTAAAGTAATGTTTTAAAACGAAATTTTTGGACGTGAAAATTGGGTCGTTACAATAGGTTTCATAAATTAATTATTAAACATTTTCATTTACTAATTATTTAAACCAATTGATAATTTCAAGGTTTATCCTTTAATCAATCAATTAATTAAATATAATTAAAATCATTAGATAATTCACAAATCAAGATTTAGGAGATCAGATTACCAAACTAAATATTTAGATTTTTATACAATTAAAATAATATTAACTAAAGTAATTATCCTAATCAATTTAAATTTAGCAAACAAAAAAAATCATTGAACAGAGGCTCCTCACGACATGGCAGAGGAGTCTCCACATCGTGACAAAAAAATTAAACCGCGGATCAGAAGATTAGCATGACATGGCAGAGAGATACCCATGTCATCGCGTTACGACATAATGATGATTCTGTAATCTCCAATTGTTCAAGTGTAACTGATGAACATTCAATTATTAGAAAACATAATGCTCTTATAACACTGATGGGTTTTAAATGTAATAAAATAGAAAAATCCTTATACTCTTAAGGGCACAAGCAACCTACTTTGATTTATGTCATAACACTATTGAAGCAACATATTATTGAGCAAAAAAAGTTATGAACCCTAGTAGAAATCGTAATTCACATAGAATAACATACATTATTTGTTACTGTAAACAAACCCTTTGATTCCAACAAGATTAATCCAAAAGTCTCTTGAAAACAAGCTCCAATAGTGTGTGAGCCTCTAATGGTTCACTCCCAAAACACAAGAACCCTAGAAAGATTCGGAGAGAGAGAGGAGAGAGGTTCAAATTTTCGGATCTGGTATCTCAAAAACAGCAGTCGAGAATTCCAAGGCATGAGACTCTATTTATAGCAGATTAGGAAACATCTAGAAACCCTAATTTGAACATAAAATAATATTATCTCAAATAAGGCAGTTATCAAGTTTCTTGATTATATGGAGGCTTCCAAAAACTCTAATATGGTTTCATAAAGCCATCCGTAAGAGGAAGGTTCTGAAACTTCTCCTCTGCTCAACTTTTAAACAATTACAACTTCAATCATTTAACTATTATTTAATTCTAATTAACCGATAATTAATTCCAAATTAATTCTAAATTAATTATAACTATTTCTAATTAATATATTAATAAATAATTTATCTCTCTCCTATAATCAATCTAAGCAATTTCTTGGTTATAATATTATAATGTATCACTACAAGCAATAAAATATCAATGTTATACATAATTTTAGTGACGGTTGAATTTGGTAAGCATAAGTAAATGGAAACAAGAATCATAATAAAAGTTTAACTTGTTTTTTTTTGTCTATACGGTACACAATAGTCATGCAAAAATAAAAAGTCGCTATACGTATTTTACAATGACATTTTTATGACTATTGTTTGTCAAGTAGTAAACACATGTTTTGATGTAAAAGATAAAAATTATATAGGTGTCTTATATTGTTCTTTTCCTGAACATCATATTTTAAAAATGTGATCAACTACACTTACACACCATCATGCTCTTTGAGAGAGTGTGTATGAAATGGGTTCATCTTTTTCTTTTTTATTTTTAATTAATAAAAGTTTAAAATAAAAATATAAAAAATACAAAAAGGAAATTAGAAGGGTAAAATCGTCCTTTCAGGTTTCCCTAGGACCAAAAACACAATTTTTTTTATTTTAGGATTAAAACCACGGAAAGTATTCGATTTTAGACCTTCCATGCAAGTCGAAAACTTTTTGAACCCTATCTAAAGATTTTTGTAAACCATGAGGACCAATTTTATAGTTTTTACAAGTCATACTATTTTTGGATTATATTATTTTTTATGATAAAATATTTTATCATACCATTCTGAATCATATTATTTTATACTATATCATTTTTTATTCAAATGATTTTGGATTATAATATATTCGATTAAATAAAACTTTTGTTCATAATAAATTTTGAAACCTTATATTTTTTCAATCATATAATTTTGAATCATAAAAATATAATTAAGGATTAAAAAATATTTAAATCAAAATATTTTTAGTTCATAATAAATTAAAGATCTTAAATATGTTAAATCATAACTTTTTTGAACCATTATTATTTTGAATCGTTTGTTTTGGATCATATAATTTTCAACATTTTTAAAAATAATAATTGTAATCTTTTAAAATAAGTTTTGATTTTTAAACAACCTTATTTTTAAAATTACTTTTCAAAAAGTTTATAATATATGGTATATAATAGACCTTTAAAAAGTTTATATCTTGGAATAAGAAAAATTTTCATGTCTGACTTTTTATAATCACATAGAATCATTTAAATAAAATGTACTATTTTTGAAAGTTTTCTTTTACAAAGTCACTAAATTAGTATACCAAGAACTCTGTTATTTTTTTTTTCTGAATTTGGATAAAAAAAACTATTTTTTATATTTTCTAGAAACTAAAATTTATTAAAATTAAAATAAAAACACTTCAAAAGTTATTTTAGTTATTTTTACAATGTCACTTTTATAATGAATAGAAGTATGTCATAAATTTTTTTAATTTTTAAAAAATATTTTTTATTGTTTTTTTATAAATATGAAAAAGTTATAAATTTTTATTTTTTAAAATTTTGATTATTATTCTAAATTTGTAGAGTCAAATTTTAATTTCTAATTTTTCAAATTTTTTTTCTTTTTTTTAAGAGAAAAAAATGTTATAGCTGAAAAAAGTTAGGTGGAATAGAAAAAACGAAGCAAATCAGAAGTCGACAAGTGTCACAGGAGGGGTGGGGCCGCGTGGAAGGTGTGGCTGAGAATATAAAGCGCGTCTATCCGACTTTCTTTTTACTGCAATTACAATCTTGTTCCTTCATATTTATGCTTTCCACCTCTTTAATTCTGATTATAACATAGATAACCCCTTAGATATTAAGATTTTGTCATTTTTTCACAGTAAACTCTCAAGATATTATTCATATATGAATTTTATCTGTTGTGTCATTCCGATATCTTGAAACGCTTAAATGGCAGATTTGTAAAATAAAAGAATATACTTACCTTTATATTCATAAATCGGTATTTATGGTGTTAGAGTTATAATATATATATATATATATATATATATATATATATATATATATATATATATATATATATATATAACTTTACACACTATAATCATTGTCTTTTATAGCTCTAACGCCATAAATATCGATTTTTTCTTTTTGCAATTTATGATGAGGAGTTTAGCACCACATTCTTTAATGTTGTCGATAACATTGATGATAAAGAGCTCTAGAATGTTAGACACTATAATAACTAACTTTTATAATTCTTATACCATAAATATCGATTGTGATCATGACCACCTCCAACACATTACAAAGATGCATATGAAGGCGATAATGAAAAGTGCAGTACGATAGTTTCGCTACACAATGATACTTACATAATGCCAACTGTATATAAACTTGATATGTTTACTAAATCCAAAAGCGATTACTTTCACTTGGACTGTAAGTGTACAAAAATATGTAACGCCAGTTAAAATGTGTGAAGAGACAAGACTAAAGAGTTGTAGGACAAAACTTGGTACTATTCTTTTATATTTTATATGTTTTGTGAATGTTTTTTGTTAGATTTTTTATAATAGCAAGTGTATATAACCAATATACGCGGGTCCATTGTTGTATATTCAATATTTTTATTAATAAGTTTCATAATTTTTGATGTTTTCAAGATTTAACTCTATTAAAATATCGCTTGAACTGTAAGACACTATAACATTTGAAGAGTGAAAAATAGGAATTATTGCAATCCCTGAACCCTCAATCATCGGAATAGTGTGACGATCTATTGCCCTTTGAAAAACGATAGACCAAAAACGAGCACAAACAAAAAATACAAAAAATACAAAAAGGAAATTAGAAGGGTAAAATCGTCCTTTCAGGTTTCCCTAGGACCAAAAACACAAAAATTTCTTTTACATCAAAACATGTGTTTCCCGAATTGATGGTGTTTCGAAATCCTTTGCAATTACAAAACAAGGGGGAAAAGCAAAGAAGGTTTCTAGTGAAAAAAATTAAGAAATCACCTGGTGGCTCTGATGAGCACAAACAAAAACCACCCAAGTCAAAAGATCTAAAGGATAATGTAGCTTCGGCATCAAAAGGAAAAGAGAAATTGGTTGATGATGATGATGAGGAAGAAGAAGAAGATGATGATGATGAAAATGAAAAGTTAAAATGCAAGTCTCGTGACGCAGAGATTGATGAGAATCTGTGAATAGCCAAGGAAGCTGAAGCTAAAGAACAGGAAGCCCGTGAAGCCTAAGTCACCCTGAAAACTCAAAAGCTTATTTTTCATTCCTGGCATATGGAGCATATTTTGAATGAAGCCATTGATAATCTAAATATTTACTGGCTTGAGCCTATAGTATCGTTTGATTTTGAGAACTCTCTAGTGTCGCAACTTGATCTTCCGGTCACTCCGAAGGCCTTTTAATTTCATAGCTTTGACAAGATTGCGATCACTTCTCTTCCAGACCATGGCGTTGACCAAGTGCTTTTCTCATTCTATCTCAAGAATGTGAAGCCTCAGTATCAAACTTGGAGCTCAAAGAAGATTACTGTTGTCAATGTTTTTAGACCAGTTGAAACTGAGAGCTTTATCAATACTCGTTTCAAGGTTGCTCGTGGGGCTACGAGTTTTGTCTTTGAATTTACTCTGGCTGATTTTACCTACCTTAACCCATTCGACTGGATTTATCTATTGCATCTTTTGCTAAAGTATGAACAAAAATTCGAACCTATTGTTGCACATCTTAAAAGAATGTTGGTTTGTTACATCCAAGAAATTGGGAAGATGTATGTGGAAATTGCGACTGTCCTTCGCAAGAAACCTACAGTGCTTCCTAAGGAGCCTCTGAAAGATCTTGACAAGATGAAGCTGGGGAGAATACGAAAGGATGATTGGAGTATGGCATTTCAAATACAAGAAAATTTTGATGATAATTTTCATAGAGTTTTCTTCTTTCTGCCTGACAAGCATCTATACTCTACCCCATGCCTGGAATACATTTTGGAGTTTAGTGCAAAGCAAACAGTGCTGGGGACAAGCAATGCTTTTCAGATATGATCAACTGATACATCTTGGTTCATAAACTTTGCTGGGAATGATGCCAAAACTTTTCAAAGATTAAACAGTGCCAACAAAACTGAAGAATCTGCCTTCCTTATTTGACACAAATGGGGAGATTGTTAGGTTATTTAATAGATTGTGTCAAATTTTGTTATGTATGTAGTTAGCCTTTTTATGGATTGGGATTGTCCATCCGTCAGACGCAATTAGGTTCCCAACAATTGCTCGGATGGCGAAAGGTGATTACTTTTTGTTAGTCTTTCATAATTTATTTATAAATTAATGTTGTTACAATTTAATTCTTTGTTGTTAGATATATTGGCGATACAAATCTCAAGTGTAGCGTCCAAGTCCGCGTTTAGCACATGTGGTAGAGTTGTAAGTGAGTATTGGACTAGTTTATCGATGTTGATAGTTGAAGCTTTGTTATGCACCCAAGATTGGGTGAGAAAGTCTACAAATCCGATAATTGACAACGTTGATGACATCTTGAACGATGATGATATAGCTTTGGGTAAAAAAATTACAAGCTTTGTTTTTTTATACAATTATTACTTTTTATTAAATACTAACAACATTTTCATTTGTGTTTATGTAGAGATTGCACAAGCCTTAAATATGTTACATGTTGATGACAATGATAAGGGGAAGAAGCCAATGGAAGATTAGATTATGAGTTTATGAAGTTTGTTATTTTGATTGCTTTTAGAGTTTAAACTTTAACCTATGTTTTTTGTTGCTACGGTATTATTTTTGTATGTTTGTGTTTAAATTGTTAACTTTTGTTGGTGAACTTGAATTATATGTTAGTTGATTTTATTTGGAAAATTAAGTTTGCAAGTTATAATATTATACATCAATGTAGATTACTCATACTCTATGCAACTAAAGTTGTACCGGTCCAAACGTGTCCAAAAACCGGAAAACCCAGACCCGGACACGGACATGGACACGATGCATCCGGTCCGGTCCATGGTCCACAATTTTCTCCATAACCGGTCTGGTCCAAGAGCCGGTCCGGTCCAAATGCTCACCCATAATCCATCTTGATGTTGCTAGGGTTAGGCTTTAAATACTACATGCATGTATTGTATTAGGGTTAATTGTTTGGTGATTTCCCACCTTTCTTTTACAGTAGAAGTTCTTCATCGAGATCTTCTAAGGCATTGATTATTAATCATTCGACACTACTTTGATCATTGTATTCATTGTTTGATTTACTTTTTTGTTAAGAATCTTTCGATCAATTCCTATTTATTCTAACAAGTGATCGTCTACTTGATCGACTTTTTTTTGTGACCTAACTTCTTTTTTTCTTTTATGCAATTCATGTTCAGGTTCCTCGAATGGAGAAGGAGACTAGAATTGAATCCTTTGGTCATGCATTGTTATTACAAAAAATTAAAATAAAATAAAATAATGCAAGCGTAAAATTGAACAAAAAAATAAACATAATCTGAAATCAACGATAATCGTGTCACGATACACTGTCTTTCCCTTCACAAAAGTCATTGATTCAGATAATCGACTAACTAATTAAAAATAGAAAAAAATATACTTAACAGTTTACACAATCAAAGTAATTTGAAATAGATTAAATTGTTCCCGAAAACGGTAACAAAAACTTGTTATGAGATTTTTATACTAAAAAACTACTTTAAGTTTTAAATGTATGAAACCTTTATCAAACACATCTTAATCAACACTCACATAGGAAGTGAACCTAATTGAGTATAGTATAGTTGCGGTAAATAAGGGTGTCAAAACCTCGAAGAACAACTATGACTAATAAAATATTAAATTAACTAAACGAAAACTTTAAATGCGGGGTTTTGTGTAACTGAAATATTAAACCATAATTTTGAACTTATCAAACATAACAAAGCAAAAATAATGAGTTTTAAAGCACTTATACGTAAACTTCGAATCCTTAACTCCTATGATGAATTGTTGATAATGTAACAATCATACTAGTAATCATGATCAATTACTAGATCTTTTGATTAACAAGTAACTAATTTAATGTTCATAATGTTGGATTAGTGTCTAAGCCCGTAACCGTATTTGGTAAGTACTTGACCCGGTTGTGCATGGTCCTTTTGGGTTGCCTTATCGAAGCAACATGATAGGATGATTTATTAAGAAAAATGTTATATTAATATGTTATATGAATAATATATTAATGGAGTAATCATATAATTAAATTAATATTAGACAATAATTAATTAAGAAATTAATTCTGTGTTTAAAAGACATTAATTTAATATCAGGGACTTAAACTATCAAATGTGTGATAGTTGAGTATTGGGCTGAGGAGCCTCTTGGACTGGGCATGGACGAAATTAGGACGTGTCCATCCTTAATTTCGGCCCTAAGTCCTTATTCAGAAGCTTCCTTGGCTAGCTTAAGGCCAAAGCTGACAATTAGGTTTTTTGACTGAACCCCTAACTGCTCCAGTATAAATAGGACCCCTAGGCTATAGAATTCGGCTAACCCTAAACGTAAGACCGATAGAGCCGACTTCAAGAAGCCTCCAAACTCTTTCCAAGTTCATTCTTTTGCTATTGGTGTTTGTAATCCATTAGATGAGCGACACTTGTGACTCTAAGCTTCAAATACAAGAAGATTCAAGCAAGCAACAAGAGGTAATGATCTAAATCTGATTTGTTTCATAAAATTTCGAATTCTTCTCATTAGATCTAGGGGTTATAAGCCTTGGATGATTGCATGTACAATTAGTAAAACCTAGATCCAAGCATTAGGGTTTGTATGAGCACATAGGATGTTCTTTTGGCTCAAACCATCAATGGTATCAGAGCTTTGATTGGTTTTAATTGTATTTGATGCTATTATATTCCTTCATTGCTTGATATGAGAATTGATTTTTTCTGAAAAACCCAGCTCACGATGTGACTCTCTGAGTTCACGATGTGAGCCCAGTATGTCTGACAGACTCGACGAGTGTAGTAGGCTACTCGACGAGTCTGTGGATCAGTTGGCTCAAAACTCAGATGTTTTGACTGATTTTGTGTTTGGATAATTACCAAATTGTTTTTGAATTATAAAATCCTATTTTTATATTTATATTATGACTATCCTTACCAAATTAAAAAGATAATTACCATTTATTTGAATAATAAATTAATTATATGATAATCATTAATTATTTAATTTATTTGGTGAATTATCTAGTAAATTATCTTCATTAGGCCAGATTTAGATAATCATTAAATTAATTTTAAATTTAAAATTATTTGCTATTTGATCCTTTGTGTTTTGAAAAGTTCAAAACATGCCCTCAAGTTTTGAAATTTAAATTTTTGACTAAAAAGTTTATTTTGAATTATTTAAATTTCAAACCCTAGAATTTTACAAGTTTAAAATTCAGTCTATACTATTATATTATTACAAGATGTATGTACATATATATATATATATATATATATATATATATATATATATATATATTGTAATGCCCTGATCTTCAGGTATTAATAATGATATTTTGGTTGTCTTTTTAGTACTTACTCGGTGAGTTGGCCTCTCTACTCGTCGAGTATCAGCGGGCTTACCAGTTAAGTTTAATGATCTACTCGCCGAGTTCGCTATGGGACTCGACGAGTCGATACTGGAAAATGAAACCCTAAACTTCGAGGCCTTGCACCCTATTTAAAGGGTTATAAGCCTCCCTTAGCCTCCCTTTTATAGTTCTTTTCCTCCCAAGGACCCCTGATTCGAGTGTGAGTGTGTTCTTGGTGATTTAAGCTTGAAGGAAGGATTTGGTGAAGGGAGCACTTGAAGAAACAAGTTAGAAGAAGCAAAGGACTCGTGGGGATTCAAGATCTACCTATGTGTAACACTTTCTGAAGGTATTAAGCTATTCCTTGGCTCATTCCCTTACAAAACCCCTTTGTGCATGGATTCTAGGAAAGGGCTTTTGTATTTATGCTAAGATCTGGAGTTGTAACTTCAGATCTGGACTCCTTTTGATCTTGAGATGCATAAAGTTATCCATTTAGCCTAGCATGAGCCTCCCCTCAGGTGTATGACTCAATCCCAAGCTTAGATTTGCTATTTCAAGGCCATAAAGCCTTGCATGCACGTAAAGTTTGCAACTTTACGTGAAAAGCATACCTCGGGAGCCTAGATTTGTAATTTAATAGCATTGCATGGCTCGAAGGAGTTTGTATGGCTCGAAATCTGATAGGACTTGGAGAGTCTCAGGGGAGACTCGGCGAGTCATATGAAGATAGGTATGGACTTGGCGAGTTGGATGAACAACTCGGCGAGCCCGATGAACATTAATATGAACTCGAAGAGTTGGATGAACAACTCCGCGATCCAAATAAAGATTGCCTAGAACTCGACGAGTTGAAGGAACAACTCGGTGAGTCAAGTAAGATTCCCCAATTGATTTGATGGTCATGAACGTGTCGAGTGGAAAGAAAGGAAACCCGGCGAGTGGACCTTAGATTATCAGTCAAGACCGTATGAACTCAGCGAGTCACCTCGATGACTCGACGAGTAGATGTTATCCCGGGAAACTCGATGAGTCACTAATTGTACTTGGCGAGTTAGGGTCAACATGGACTGTTGACTTGATCCTAACTGAAGTGGGCCAGGGCGAACTTTAAAGTCAATGACTGGGTATTATATGTCACTTTTAGGTGGTTGAGTTGGAGCAGTTCGTGGGGAATATCCAGTCGAAAAAGTATTAGTTCAGCATTCATGTCAGGTGAGTCTTCTCACCATACCTATGGGTCTAAGGCTCCAAGGCCGACCCATTATGTGATTACGGTAGATGTGATAGATACTCTCTATTTGCTTTGCTATGTGATTGTGTAATGCCCGTAGATCCGGGCTAGTCAATTTAGAGACGATAGGCGTCAAAAATGGATTTTTTATGAAAGATTATTTAGAATTAATAATCTTAACTAAGTTATAGTATATGTTACAAGGTTTCCATGCATATAAAGAACGCCGAAATCCGAGTTATA